ATAATGGCAAGCAAAGGAGACCAGATAGAAAAGAATTTATTGTTCCATTCACCAAAAATAATCATATGACACCAAGCTACCTTGTTTGGAATACATATTTGTTTTAAAATTATAAAACACAACTCCTAAAAATAAATATGAAAATAGTGGTGATCTCTTGGAAGAGATTATAAAGCAAGGGCCACATAAGGTGTGATTTCTTGATCTGGTTGTGGTTACACTGGATTTCCTGGAAATTCAAAAACTAGGCGTGTGCTTTATGTGCTTTTTTATTTATGATGTTTCATGCCTACAAACTTAAACAGAAGTTACTCTTATCATTTTTGCTTTTTTGTTCTCCACTATTTGTATTCCATATGAACTTAAAAAAAACCCCAACTTTTATTGTATGGGATTATAAGTCATAATTGGAAAATTCTTCCTATATCCAGGTTGCAAGAGAATTCACATTTTTTTTAATACTTGTAGGTTTTCACTTTTTACATTTAGATTACTGATCCATGTGTAGTTTATTCCTGAATAGGGGGTGAGGTTTGAAATTTCACGTAACTCTTTCTAGCTGGCTAACAAATTGTGTCTGAACTATTTGTCAAAAAGTCTGCCTTTGCACTTGTGGTTTGAAATGCATGCTTTATCAGTTACTAAATGTCCACATGTGATTGGTTTATTTCTGTAGTTTATTCTTTATTCCACTGATCTGTTTTTCTCGTCATTTGTGAGTACCACTATGATTTAATTGCAGGTGCATTAAGAGTATGTTTTAATATCTACCCCCTGTTTTTTCTTTCAGTGTCGTCTGCATTATTTTGAGTGTTTTAAAATTTTCTTCATATGGATTTGTACATATCTTGTTAAACTTATTCCTAAGTATTTTATTTTCTCCGTTGTTATTATAAATGGGATTTTCTCTACCCTAAATTCTCCGACTGGGCATTGTCTATATGATAGCTAATAATTTCTGTGTGTCAATTGTACATCCTGATACCTTAGTGAATTAAAATTTTTTTATTTGAGATGTAATTGATGTTTGACATTGTATTAGTTTTAGGTGTACAACATAACGACTTGATATATTTGTATCTATTTGTATATATTGTGAAATGATCACCACATTAAGTCTAGTTAGCACCCATCACCACACATAGTTATAACATTTTTTTCTTGCCTTGAGAACTTTTTTTCTCTTTCAAAGTAAGCTCTATACCCGATGTGAGAGGCTGGAACCCACGACCCTGAGATCAAGAGTCACATGCTCTACCAACTGAGCCAGCTAGGCGCCCCACGATGAGATCTTTTAAAGATCTACTTTTTTAGCACTTTAGTGAATTTTTTTATAATATGAATTTTATCATTGAATCTCTGGGGTTTTCCAGGTCTACTCTTATGTCATCTGCAAAGAGAGATGATTTTATTTCTTTTCAAAACTTGGTGTTTCCAATCGGTGTCTCTTACCTGTTTGCCTCTACAGACCAGTAGTACCCAGTGTCGAGGGGTAGTAGCCATAGTGGGCATCCTGGCCACCCTCACCTTTGTTCCTGGTTGTAGCAGAAGTGCCCCTGGTATCTTCCCAACTTCTTGATTAATGTTTTATTTTTATTTTTTTATATGTTCAATTAGTCAACGTATAGTACATCATTAGTTTTTGATGTAGTGTTCAACGATTCATCAGTTGCGTATAACACCCAGTGCTCATCACAACACGTGCCCTCCTTAATAACGTTTTATTTTGTTTGAGTATATCCTCTGCTTGTTCAGAGGAGAATTTTGGATGGTAAAACCACGAATTTCTTCATGCCTGAAATGGTTGACTTTTATGCATGAAGGGAAGATGTCACTTGGTAGAGAAGCCTTGATCAATAACTGTCTAAATCCTTGGCAGAGTTCTTCTGTTTACTCTTCACTTATAGTCAGTGTTGTCATTAAAGGTCCTCACAAACTAATTCCTAACCTCTTATAGACAAAAATGATATTCAGAGCATTGTTTGGGAATGTGCGTGTCGTGGTTATTAATAATTAAATTGTGGGGTGCCTGGGTGGCTCAGTTGGTTAAGCGACTGCCTTCGGCTCAGGTCATGATCCTGGAGTCCCGGGATCGAGTCCCGCATCGGGCT